TGTTAATTCTTTAGTGTGTTTGTATCTTGTTTCTATTGGAAATAGCCCCCAAACTCAAAGTAAAGAGGCTCCCCTGAGACCAAATATTTTAACATTGTCCTCCCTCAAGTGTTTTGAAGTTTTCATAGCGGCTACGGCCATCCCATAGGAGGGTCATGCAGTCATGCAGGCGAGCTTAGTGATATTTTTTGTCCTCAAAATGGACATTTGAAAAACTTGAAAGCAGTCTGAAAATGTAGAGCGCTTGTGGGTGTCATTGTCACTGCCGAAATGGTCAGAATTCCTCTTACCACTCAGAATGGTTTTGGTCTGCAAGGCCACCAAACTAGAACTGAGCTGAGCTCTAAGGTCCTGGGAAACTGTCCAGCAGGAAGAGCTGCCTATTCAAGAGCTTTGGAGGGCTCTAGGGCACAGACTTGTCTCTTTCAACACATGCACACCTGAACCAGCTCAATCTGGTTATCCTCACTACCCTGTGTTCCACATCTGAAAAAAAAGAAGGGGGGCGAGTACTGAGCTTAATGAGCTTGAGAACCCTTAGGCTGCCAGAGGTGCAGGAGCTGGAGTCACACCTGGATGGCAAGAGATGCAGAAGCCCAGCTGAGAAGGAAATTAATGGGAACTGGGAGAGAAAGGGAAACACACAAAGTCCTTTTTTGGATAATAGAGACCTCCAAGCTGTTATTGAAGGTCATATTTCTCCATTGTCTTCCCACTCCACCACCAATGAGGAGGTGAATTGATTCTGTTCAAATATGCTTTTGGAAAGGAGAAAAAAATGAGAATCTTGATGACATTCACCTGACACCCAGAGGGTCCTCATGTTCCACTTCAAAAACCTGAGGACCAGATAATCACCAGAAATGACCTCTGCACACCTTTTTCTCATTCATTAAATTATTGAGCTCCCACTGTGCTATGTGGGTACCCAAGTTACCTGAGGAATGAAGAACAAGATGGCACAGTCACAGCTCTCAGGGAGAGGGAAGAGGAGGAAGGAGGAAGCAGGAACACCCACCAGTTAGTTATAATAATGCGAAGTGGAACAAGAGGCATACACACAGCCAGGCATTTTTAGGGGGCTCAGAAAAGGGGCCTCTTCCCAGTCCTTACGAACCAGCAGGCCTATCTGTGGGATATTTCCTTCCTTCCTGTTGTGAGAGGATTCCTGACACCAAGAAGGAGCACCAAATTTACCAGACATTCCAGGTGGCGATTCAATTTTGTAATCAAACCTTTCAGATGTAAAGCTCAAAATCACCAGATTCTCCTTTCGGATTCCTCCCCGTATCTCTTGATCCTTCTCAGGGCCGGAATAAGGAAGCCTTTCCAGTGAATGTTTCTCTGTAGTATTTTCTCTGTATGCAAATAGGCAAGTTTGAGGAAATCCTGTTTTTCAGTGGAAAAGTGAAATTCCTTTCAGCTGGAGACAGTTTCTTCAGCTGGTCCTTTTATTTTATTTTATTTAGGCATCTGTGGCAGTGCAAGAAAGGGTACATGCAAAACATGAAGAGAAGCTAGAAGAAACAATATTACTTGGTTGTACTTAGAGTTAATGGAAACATCTCTTTGCAGAAATGAGAATAATTCTCTTTAGTTTTAAACATACACAATACTGTCAACAAATTGGATTGTTTTTTTTTCTTCAACTTTTATTTTAGGTATCAGAGATTACCTGTGCAGTTTTGTTATGTGGGTATATTGTGTGATACTGAGATTTGGGGTAAAAATTATCCCTTCACCCAGGTAGTGAACACAAAATACAGTAAGTCCTTTTTCAATCTTCACTCCCTCCTTCCCCTCTCCCCCGCTAGTATTCCCCAGTGTCTATTGTTCCCATCTTTATGGGTACTCAATGTTTAGCTCCCACTTATAAGTGAGAACATGTGGTATTTGGTTTTCTGTTCCTGTGTTACTTCACTTTAGAAAACGGCCTCCAACTTCATTCATGTTGCTGCAAAGGACATGATTTCATTATTGTTGTGACTGTGTAGTAATCCATGGTGTGTACATACTGTATTTTATTTATCCACTCCCCAATTCGTGGTCATCTAGGTTGATTCCATGTCTTTGCTATTGTGAATAGTGCAGCAATGAACCTACAAGTGCATGTGTCTTTTTTATAGAAGAATTTATTTTCCTTTAGGTATATTCCTTGTAATAGGATTGCTGGATTGAATGGTAATTGGGTTTTAAGTTATTTGAGAAATATCCAAACTGCTTTCCACAGTGACTGATCTAATTTACATTTACACCAACAGTTTATAAGTGTTTATTTCTCTTTACAACCTTGCAGCATCTGGTTGTTTTTTTTGTTTGTTTGTTTTGTTTTGTTTTGTCTTTTTTTGTTTTTGTTTCTTTACTTTTTAGTTATAGCCATTCTTACTGGTATGAGTCAGTATCTCACAGTGGTTTTGATTTACATTTCTCTAAAAATTAGTGATACTGCCACTTTTTGATATGTTTGTTGGCTGCTCGTTTATTTTTTCACAAGTGTCTGTTCATTTCCTTTGCCTACTTTTTAAAGGGCTTATTTTGTTTTGCTTGTTGAATTAAGTTTTTTTTTCCTAAGATTCTAGCTAATAGATTTTTGCAGGATGTGTAGTTTGCAAATATTTGTTTTCCATTCTATAGTTTGTTTACTCTGCTGATAGTTTTTTTTCTTTCTTTCTTTCCTTTTTTTTCTTTTTCCTGTGCAGAAGACGCTCTTTAGTTTAATTAGGTCCCATTTGTCTTTTTTTCTTTTCTCGTTTGCAACTGTGACTGATCTTTTCTGTAGGTGCCTTTAAGATTTTTTCATTAACATTGACTTGGACAGTCTGGTGACTATACGCCTTGTGATGTTCATTTTGTATAGTAACTGGCAGTTATTCTCTGTGTTTCTTATAACTCGATATCTACTTCTCCAGGAAGATTTGGGAAATTTTCTTGCATTATTATTATTATTGAGATGGAGTCTTGATCTGTCGCCTAGACTGGAGTACCGTGGCCTGGTCTCAGCTCACTGCCACCTCTGTCTCCTGGGTTCAAGCGATTCTCCTGCCTCAGCCTCCCAAGTAGCTGGGATTACAGGCATGCACCACCACGCCCAGCTAATTTTTGGAGTTTTAGTAGAGATGGGGTTTCACCATATTGGTCAGGCTGCTCTCAAATTTCTGACCTCAGGTGATCCACCCGCCTTGGCCTCCCAATGTTATAGGATTACAGGCATGAGCCACTGCTGGGCCATTTTCTTGAATTATTCCCTCAAATATATTTTTCAGATTGTTTTCATATTCTCTTTTTTTCCTCAGAAATGCCAATACTTAGTAGGTTTGGGTGTGTTACATAGTCCCATATTTCTCTGATACTTAGTTCGTTGTTTAAAAAATTATTTTCCTTCTTATTTTTGTCTGACTGCTTAGTTCAAGTGACCAGTCTTCAAACGACTCTGAAATTTTTTCTTCTGCTTGGTCCAGTCTATTGATAAAGCTTTCAGTTGTATACTTAGATTTCTTAAGTATTTCAATTCCAGTACCTCTGGTTGATTTCATTTTCAGATGTTTATGTCTTCCTTTGTTTTCTGGAAGTTTTTTTGTGTTGATTTTCACCCTCATCTTTGATGTCACTGAACTTTCTTGAAATCCATGCTTTGAATTCTTTGTCATTTTTGAGTTTCCATTTTGGTTAGGGACCATTGCTGGAGAGCTATTGTAATCCTTGTGATCTATGTAAGGTGTAGGCTTCAAATATGTGTCTGAGTTTTATCTGGATTCAGGAAATACCTCTGTGTGTATGGGCAGTGGCTTGGTAGGAGATGGAGACTGTCTTTCCTAGATATGAGACAGGTAGACTGGCAACTGGTCAGAATAATATCCCTACCCATGGCTAAAAAGTAAAAGAGGAAAGTGGCATTAATGGTGCACAGCAGGGACATGCACTAAGCAGCAGCTGCCATCACTTAGGAGAGAGGATTCAGTGACCTGGCCTTTCCCCGGGGCCTCCCTTTCACCTGCTCTCCAGAAAGCCAGGCTCCAAAGGAACTGCTCCGGAGCCCCCAGAAACATGCTGGTGGGGAGTGCAGCTCAGAGCATTGCATAGTGGGTGTGGTATTGGTCTTCTTACTCTGGAGACAAGTGATCATGGGAGCCTAGATTGTTCCAGGGCTTTAGGCTTATCCTAATCCAAGCTCCTATACTTGGAGGAAGAAACAGATTTTTATTAAAGTAATCAAATCTGGTATCAATGATCAACCTGTTATGCTGATGAACTATGGAAAATAATACCCAATGGCAGAAAAGTAGTATATGGGGATCCACAAACTAAGAATAAAGTGCAGCCTGTTTAGCCCCTACATATTAAAGAGACCTATAGCTTTGAATATTGGTGTATCTGTGAGTGATGCATCCATTAAGGAATTATGGTATCGTCTTTGTGCACTGGCAGGGAATTGCTTGACCTTATGCTGGTACTAACAGTGGCTAAGGGCATTACAAAATGCTTTTCAATAGAATAAAATGCTACTGATAAAATCATTCTTTTCATTTCAAAAAAGGAAAGAATTTCACATTGACAGAAATGTTAGTACAGGACAAAGGATTTTTACATCTACTGAATCGATTTGAGAGTAACGTGAAAACATGATACTGCCAGCATCTAAGACTTTATTATGCATTCCCTATAACAATGACACTCTCCTACATACTTCCAATACAACCAAAGAATACATTATTTGATCTAGTCCTTAGGTTCATTTTTTTAAAATGTTGGCAATTGCCTCCAAAATCTGTTTTGTAACTATAGGCCCTCTAGAGAGAAATACTTTCCCTTCACGCAAATCTGCGCTGCCCTGGTCTGACCCGGGACCTTGGGGACACTGCCCCTGTGCTGAGTTACTGAGATGAGCCAGCCCTGCAGCTGTGCCCAGCCTGCCCCATCCCCTGCTGATTTGCATGTTCCCAGAGCACAGCCCCCTGCCCTGAAGACTTATTAATAGACTGGTCACACCCTGTGCAGGAGTCAGTCTCAGACAGGACACAGCATGGACACGAGGGTCCCCACTCAGCTCCTGGGGCTCCTGTTGCTCTGGCTCCCAGGTAAGGAAGGAGAATACTAGAAATTTACTCAGCCAGTGTGTTCAGTACAGCCTGGCTCTTGATGGAAGCCTTCCTATAATACGACTACTAGTATGAATATTTGTGTTTGTATTTCCAATCTCAGGTGCCAGATGTGACATCCAGATGACCCAGTCTCCATCCTCCCTGTCTGCATCTGTAGGAGACAGAGTCACCATCACTTGCAGAGCCAGTCAGGGTATTAGGAACTGGTTGGCCTGGTATCAACAGAAACCAGGGAAAGCCCCTAAGCTCCTGATCTATAGGGCATCCAATTTGGAAACAGGGGTCCCATCAAGGTTCAGTGGAAGTGGATCTGGGACAGATTTCACTCTCACCATCAGCAGCCTGCAGCCTGAAGATATCGCAACATATTACTGTCAACAGTATGATAATTCCCCTCCCACAGTGTTACAAGCCCGAATACAAACCACCAAGGGAAACAGAAGGGTGAGGCTCAGCTGCCCCAGCTGCTCCTTATGGTACCTTCCTCTGCTGACAGCTTTTTTCCAATTAGGCCAGGATTTGGAAGTTTTAGTAGAAAAAGCCAGGAAAGCTCCCCTCCATTCGAACTCTATTTTTTTCTCCTTCAGCCCCTGCAGCACAGACATGACACTGTCCCTCCTGATTTAATGAAGAACAGCAATTATGATACCTGAGGAATCGCAGTTATTGCATCTGTCCAGGTCATACATCACAAGAGAAACTACGCAAGAGAAATGACCGATTTCAAGAAGAAATTGTTTTATTTTATTTTTTAACTTTCAAATCATAGAATTTATTAAGTATTTATAATATTTTAGTTTCAGTGGTACACACGCGGGTTGGTTCTATAGGTACATTGCATGTTGTGGGGGTTTGGAGTTCATGTTGTTCTATCACCCAGGTAGTAAACATAGTACCTAATAGGTAGTTTTTCGATGCTTACTCTCCTCTTACCCTCCAGTCTCAAGTAGACTCTGGTGTTCATTGGTCCCTTTTTGTGTCCACGTGTACTCAATGTTTTGCTCCCACTTATAAGTGAGAACACACGGTGTTTGGTTTTCTGTTCCTGCATTTGTTCACTTAGAATAATGGTCTCCAGCTCCATCCATCTTGCTGCAAAATACATTATATCATTGTTTTTTAATGGCTGCATACTATTCCATGGTATATATGTGTCACATTTTCTTTATCCAATCTACCATTGATGAGCACTTAGTCTGATAGCATGTCTTTGGTATTGTGAATAGTGCTGCAATGAACATACATGTGCATGTGTCTTTAGGATAGAATGATTTATATTCCTTGTGCTACATATACAAAAGGATCCCTAAAAATGGGATTGCTCAATTGAATGGTAGTTCTGATTTAAGTTCTTTGAGAAATTGCCAAATTGTTTTCCACAGTAGCTGAACTAATTTATACTCCACCCAAAAGGGAATGTATAAGCATTATATTTTCTCTGTAGCTTCTCTAGTATCTCGTGGTTTTTTGTTTGTTTGTTTTTTTCTTTTTGACTTTTTTTTTTTTTTTTTTTGAGACGGAGTCCCGCTCTGTTGCCCAGGCTGGAGTGCAGTGGCCGGATCTCAGCTCACTGCAAGCTCCGCCTCCCGGGTTCACGCCATTCTCCGGCCTCAGCCTCCCGAGTAGCTGGGACTACAGGCGCCCGCCACCTCGCCCGGCTAGTTTTTTGTATTTCTTAATAGAGACGGGGTTTCACCGTGTTAGGTCTCGATCTCCTGACCTCATGATCCGCCCGTCTCAGCCTCCCAAAGTGCTGGGATTACAGGCTTGAGCCACCGCGCCCGGCTTTTTTGACTTTTTAATAATAACCATCTTGACAGAATTAGATTTGAAAATACAAGACAGGAGATATGGTAGTCAGGAGGCTGACACTGGAAACAGGGAAATCTCTGTTGGTCTCCCAGAAGCCAGAGTTCATTTGTTCCTAAATGCATGGGCTGTCTAACCATGTGATCTTCTGCTCTGTCTAGGAAGTTCAGATACAAGGGTGCTGGTGCTGTCTGTTGATGGAACACCTCTCCAGGTGACTCTCCAGTCTTCACCTCAGTCTGCTTGCCTGCCTGCGGGTGTCAGTGCTCAATTACCCTCTTCTTACTTTGAAATATAATGGGTGGGCTCCTCTGAGTAACTATAGGAGAAACCATAGAAAGATAAAGGGGTTTTGGGAAATGCACTTCTAGAAATGACAGTGAATATGGAGAATTGGGAGCTGACAGCCAAGTGAGGTCAATATTTTCCCAAATCTCAGAATTTTCCTGCTATGACTTGGCTTCAGGATACATTTTCTTGTGCTTCTACATAATATTAGCAAGTCTGGGATCATTGCAAGAACACTTCATTCAGTCATAAAGTAAACAGAAAAATGAGGAAATTGCTTAGAATACATAGAAATTATTTGAGAAATGAAAAAACTTTTCTGGCTGATCAAACAAGAATATCTACACATGCATAGAATATATTGTTTTCTTAGCATGAAAGCACTTTGCTGCTCAAAATTTGTCCAGATGCCAGCCAGACATGAGGTTCAGCAGTGGGAATAGAGGCTCTCAAAACTGTTGAGGAGAAGAGAGCCTGACTTTGGGTTCATGAAAGTGTTATACAGAAACAAATGGTGTGTCTATAAGAGAATCACTCAAGGAATTGTCACCTGCCTGCATGGACAGCACCATTGTCTGTCTTCTCTAACGTTATCATCAGCATCACTGTGATCATGTTACAAATGCAAAGTAGCAGATGCATCTTAGATATATTGCATAACAGTCTGCATTTTAATAAGCATATAGGTAATCTACAGGAGTTTTAAGGAGCTGTGTTTTAGAAGACATTTACTTTAGCCAAATGTATTTCCCCACAATAAGACCATTTACATTAAAGCCGCATGTATAAAAACACATCTAGGCCAGGTGCGGTGGCTCATGCCTGTAGTACTAGCACTCTGGGAGGCCAAGGTCGGGAGATCACTTGAGGTCAGGAGTTCGATACCAGCCTGGCCAACAGGGCAAATCCCAATCTCTACTAAAAATACAACAATTAGTCGAGCATGGTGGTGCATGCTCATAACCTGAGCTACTCAGGAGGCTGAAGCATGAGAATTGCTTGAACGTGGGAGGCACACGTTGCAGTAAGCCTAGATCACTCCCACTGCACACCAGCCTGGGTGACAGGGCAAGACTCTGCCTCAAACAACAACAGCAACAAATATTCAGCTTTATTTGTGACTAATGCAAAATTACATTTGAAAACATTTTTAATATTCTAAAAGTTGGAAAACATCATTATTTCTCCATCAGTGATGCAAATAACTTGATAATTAAGTACAGGAAACATTTTTAGAAACTTTAAGAGTTAACAAAGTAAAAGAATAAATTAGAATTGTGTGCACTTGTGTTACTGATCATTAGACTTATATTTGCCTGTTCAGCTTTGTTTGAAAATTTTCTTTACTTTTGCTACCTGCCATAGGAATGTTGTACCTTGGATAGGCTCTGCTTTGTTTCCAGATTAAACACAATCCAAAGGCTGGAGACAAGCTCAGTACCCTGCAGCAGAACAACCCTGCTAAGCCTTTCCTTGATCAGCAAGATAACTGTTATCATGAACATCTCTGAATAGGAAAATAAATGCTTAGTGTTATTAGCCACTGAGTTTTGAGGAATATATACATATGCACATTTTTTCCACAAGTGAGGCAAATTGTACTTTTGTAATTCAAATATTATTACTTTAATTTCTTCTAAATATCTTTCTAAATGGTTTACTATTCATATTTATACCATCACATTTGATAAAATACATCTATCTATATGAGTGGATGTGTAAATATGATATTGGTCACCTTTTACTCAAGTGGTCAGGTCAGAAAAGGCTGTTATCTGAGCCTGAGTGTAAAATATCCATCCTTGGTCACAGAATTGTATCTCTATGTCCTCCTGTTCCCATGATCTAGATTCAGTGAATGGCATTTGGCAGAAGACTTTTGTCTTGTGCCAGGAACAAAATAGAAACCTGTGGTCCCATTTTCTGATTCTGTCCCAACTGTGTCTAGCTGTCTCCCTTGGTAGTTGATGGAATCAAGTTAAAATGAAGAGTTGATCAGAACTTTATCTTCCAAGCACACCTTTTCCTTACTGCTTAGGGATCTTTCCCAAGTGTCCTGAATCTGCCTCAAAGAACAACACTCAAGTACCTCCAGCACTATAGCTGCAAGGATGACCACAATGGTACAAAAGAGCAGGGACAGACTCTGACCCCTCAGGGTACCACTACCATATTGCTGAAGACAGATGATTATGCTGTCAATGCAGGAAACAATTCCTTGGGTGATCTTCTCATTAACATGCCACTTGATTCTGTAAAACCCTTCCATCAACCCAAAACCAGCCACTCTTTGTCTTAACAGTTTTGAGAGCCTATATTCACACTCCTGAACTTCATTTTCTATAAATAAATCTGCTTCTTTTCTTCAAGCAGTTTAACTCTTTGGCTTTCCAAATCACTCTGTAGGAGGCAAGGATGTAGTTTTATTAATGCTACTCCAAGTACCACTGAAGTCTGCATCCATTCTGGAATTAGAGTCAGACAATATGCATCCAATAGTCCAGACATTATCTTGGCCAACCCTGAGGTTAAGCTCTTTTAGATGAGGACACAGCTCTGATGCTTACAGAGTGTATGACATTGGTAAGGTTGCTTAACCTTCCTTTGCCTCAGTTTCCATATCTTTGGAACTGTGACAATGATATGATCTACCTTTAGGTCTTTTTACAATTTAAACAAGTTAAAGCATTTTGAACAGTATTCAAGATATAATATATGCTGCTATTAATTTTGTTATTACTATTATTACAATATTTAGCACTAAAATAATCATCATTATCATCACTAGATCAACTTAGCCAAGAGTTATGTGACACAACTTTAAATCTAATCCATGTGTGTTTCTTCTAAAAGCAGCATTAGATTTTGGGACAGATTTTATTCATTAACCAGCTCACGGTGTTTAAAATCCTAGTGATTTGGTCTGGATCTATTCTAAAATGTTCAGCCTTCGATTATACTCACCCAGATCTGTCCAGTGCATTTCTTCTCACCATTCACTACCAAAATTTTACCCAATTAAAAGGCAAAAAAGGAAAAGTGAAAGGGTATGTATGAGGGTGAGTTGGTAAACTGAAACATCACTTCACCTTTTTGTAAAGTCATCTGCTTTCTCTGGAAAGAATTTTCAAGTTGTGAGTATTTGATTTTTTTAACCCACATCGTACTTCTTCAAACACATTTCTTTTCAGCCATTTCCTCCAAAAGTCCCAGGCAGATTAACTGTATCCAGTAAAGTATGGTTAGCCTTTCTCTGATAGCCTCTCTGTATATACTCAAAAGTTTCCAGTTCCATATAATATTTTTGTTTCATTACTATTCAAATACATAATTCCATTGAATCTTATGATAAACCCAAAAAATTTGGAAAAGTACATATTTCTAGAAATGATTGTAGCCATGCATATGTAGTCACACATTCTTTAACGAAGGGTCATAATCTCATAGTTCCAGACACAGTGTCTGAACTGTGCACATCCTAATACAACACCAATGGTATCTGAATCTTCTCAGTAGAAGTAGCTCAGTGCGTGCTGCAGCTGTCCATTTGGTTCCTGCAATATTCCAAGTGATGGAAAATTCTATTTGTTTATCCAAACAGTTGACTCAAGAACAGCTGTTCATTTGTGGATACTACCATGTTTTAATAAATCCCATTTCTCTTTTGTTTTCTTCAGACTATTAACATTTTCGTGGTAAATGGCCATGATAGAAAACTTAGTCATTTAAGAGCTAATATTTCTTTATTCATTTGTTAAAGTCAATATTAATTAATTTATTTAATGTTCTCCATTGTGCAGTAAGCTTTAAAAGGATTAAAGCCTAGAAAGCATGAGAAGAAACAGGATCTGACAGAAAAAATTATTTATCCAAAAGTCTGCATATAACCAAATACAAAGAGTAGTAGAAGCAGCTGTCTCAGTTAGCTTTGTCCAAGACTTCCTTCTAAAACAGATTTCATTGGTTGTATTCATTCATCACCACCAGTAATAGGACATGTGGACATTATTTAACTCCTGATATACATTGAAGACACATCTCATGTGTAATACTTTTGTTAAAAATAAAAAAAATGTGAATCTAGTCAATAGAAGACTTCAAATAAACCCAAGTTAAGGGATATTCTCCAAAGTAACTGGCCAGTGCACTTCAACAGTTTCAAGATCCTGAAAGATAAACAAAATTTAAAAAATTTGTCACAGTTTGGGAAACAGTAAGGAAACAATAACTGACTGTCATATACTATCTTGGATTTTACCCTGGAATGTAAAAAGGGCACTATTGGAAAAATCAGTGAAATCTGAAGGAGATTGCAATTTACTTAACTAATACCAGTGTATCTATGTTAATTTTCTGGTATTGGTACTTAAACACCATAATTATGCTTGATGCTAACCCTAGAAGAAGCTACAGGAAGAGTATATGGGAACAATCTTTACTGTATTATTTAAATTTTAAGTTTAAAAGCATTTCAAAATTAATGAAAATATATCTACAAAACTACAAAACATATGGATTCTAATTAAATAATTTCACAAGGGTCATCATATTTTCCACCTTTTCCTTTTTGTGTTTCTTATGTCTGTTAAAGACAATCTTGACTGTCTTCATGTAGAGTATATTTATTTATATTCTCAATCCTAGAATGTGTATAAGGCATTTTACAAATTGACTGTGTGTTCATCTGAGAATGTGAAGTCTGGGGATTACAGTTTTCTATTTGTTAAGAGTTTGGTTTCTCTTTAAACTGACGGTATAGAGTTCAAATTCTCAATTTCAAAATTATTTATTTTTGTAAATATCCCCATTCTCTTTCAATGTGGCTATTATAGTCATTTAAATTCAGTTTACAGGACATCTCTGTTTATGGTGTCACAAAGAGTTTATTAAAGCCTCAGCAAAAATAAACAACAAACCCAAATATAAGTATAAAGCTAAAAAATATCAATCCTCTTTCAGCACTGTGGAAATTGGCAAAGCTTAAAAAATTTTTTAAATGTATATCTTTATAAGAAAGTGTAGAGCTTTGGGTGAGGACAGGAAATGTCTGAGGCCTTTTGCCTGGAAGAGCTCCCTTTCACTCCAGCTTAGTCAGAGGTCTTTTGCCTGGAACAGCTCCCTTTCACTCCAGCTTAGTCAACATGAATTGCAGAACTGGAGATTTTCCAACATGAGGATGGCTGCAGAAACCAGCAGCTTGCCATCAAAGAGAGTGGACTTGAGCTGTTGTGGAACAAGATCCTTTAGTGTTTCCAGCTAACTGTGATGAACTATGCCGGAAATGGACTGTGCAAGCCCACAGTTTTGCTAGTTTAAGATGAGGGCCTTGGTTGGGGCAAGTGGTACCCCAGCTGAAAGTTACTAGTCCATTTCTGGTTTAAGACAGTTATAGAATTGCTGAGATAATCTCTGCACAAATTCCTGGTGACTTAAAAGCTGCAAGTATGAATAACAGGGATTGAAGGAGGCGTAGTGATAAGTAAAAACACAGGGAGGTAAGAACTGATTGCATCTTGCATGCACTTTTCAGGCCACACACAGATGGAATGGGAGAAGGTAGATTTATGAGTTCCAGATACTTGAGCAAAACTTCTGCCCAAATCATGAGTGACCACTAAGCAAACACATAGGCAGATTTTATAAATCTAAGCTAAATATTAAAATTAAGAATGAAAAATTAACAGAGATATCAGTGATCAAATATCATGGTAGGGGGTTGGGGAGGGAGCAGTAGATTCTTCAGTATAGGTCCAGGCAAGTTATTAAAATATATTTAACAATGCTCAGGACAATAAAATAGAATCCAGAAACACATGATCTAAAATGTACAGTTTTAAAATAAAAACCAAACCTTCGAAGAAAAAGAGAATCGTGACCAATACTGAGAGAATAAAAACAAAAGAGAAAAAGTACCTGAAAAAATATTTGAAGAAAGGACTGCAGCAACTTTTCAAAAGTAATGAAATGCATTAATGTGTAGATTAAAGAAATTCAATAATGTCTGTTAGAATAAACACTATGAGATTCATAACTAAACATATTATAGTAAAAATGTTGAAAGACAAAGAGGAGAAAACTTAATGCATCAAGAAAAAACCGACACAGTATAAAAACTCAGGGAAACAATAATAAAACCATTGACTAATATTTTATTGTAACCCAGGGAGTATAGAAAATAATCAACTTCCAGGGGGAAAAAAGGCAGCCAAGAATTCTATTTCTAGTGAAAATATCCTTCAACAATAAAAGAAAAGGCCAGGCACGGTGGCTCACACCTGTAATGTCAGCACTATGGGAGGCCGAGGCCGGCTGATCACGAGGTCAGGAGTTTTAGACCAGCCTGACCAACATGGTGAAACCCAGTCTCTACTAAACATACAAAAATTAGCTGGGCATAGTGGTGCCTGCCTGTAATCCCAGCTACTTCGGAGGCTGTGGCAGGAGAATTGCTTGTACCCGAGAGGCGGATGTTGCAGTGAACCGAGATGGTGGCGTTGCACTCCAGCCCGGGTAAAAGAGTGAGACTCTATCTCAAAAAGAAAAAAAAAAAAGAAAGAAAGAAAGAAAAGAAAACTAAAATTAAATAGCAGATATTTCTTACAAGATATTCAGGAGGAAGTTCTTCACAATTTCCGGAAATAAAAGCAGTCAGCACTCAAGCCCAGGGGTAGGATTGAAGCCACCCCACACGGCACACACAAAAAAAGCAGCAAGAAAGAAGTTAGGCAACAACAACAAAAATATGAAAGCTAACCAAAAAATACTCTTCTTTCAATCCATGTGACTTTTCAGCCCAGAAAAACGCAATCTATTGTGATAGAAACCAGAATGCCTGAATGACAGTTATCATGGTTGGGATAGAAGAAGAAATAACTAAGATGGTGCATGAGGGAAGCATCAGGAGTATTTGGAATTTTCTAGGTTTTCATCTGGAGAGTGAATATACATAAACTTTAGTCAGTTGCACTTTTAAGTTTGGTGAGCTTTACTCTATGTGTTTTATCTCCATTAAGGAAAAAAACTTTAAAAAGACAGAAACCAGACTCTTAAATTAACATTGGAAAGAATAATCACATTTTAATAAAACTCAACCTATTAAAGAGAAGTGTAAAACGTGCCTGAGAAAGTGAGAAAAAAAAAAAATCTATTAAAGAAAATGAAAGGAAACATTTAAATATGTCACTTCTGCCACTCAGGCAATATCAACTTTATCTTTATTATGGTCCTTCAAATGCAGAAGATATTTTATGTCACTTTGCTCACAACAGAGTCCCTGCACACTCCCCTTGGCTCTTTCCACACCACTGCACCCACCAGGGGATTTGCATACTGTCCCCTAGGGAGGACCTTCCCTTGTGACTCTGGGATAAAACTCAGCTCTACCCTTGCCTTGACTCATCAGGACTCCTCAGTTCATCTTCTCACGATGAGACTCCCTGCTCAGCTCCTGTGGCTGTTGATGCTCTGGGTCCCTGGTAAGGATGGAAGGGAGATGGAGGAGGAGAATGGAGTGGGAGGGTGAGCTCTTGGGGCCCCGCTGCCTTTCATGGGTATTCTGTTCCGTGTTAGATGTGTCTTGTCCTCCAGGGTGGGGCATGTGGTGTTTAAATCAGTGACAGTGAGAAAGATTCTAGAAGAAGCAGGGGCCTGTGATCTGGAGAAGACTCTGACACAGAAAGAGGTGGATGGTGTGAGATAATTCAACTGACTCCCTTTTGCCTCAAAAATTTGATTCTTTGTGAAATTGGATGTTTTGGGATACAAACCAAAAATGCACTCACAAAAATAATGATTTTCATGAAAAATGTAACAGAAAACAAATAATGAAAATGCCTCGTAATATTTGTTTATAATCTTGCACTTCTCTCTCATTACATCAGGATCCAGTGGGGACGTTGTGTTGACCCAGACTCCACTCTCCCTGCCCGTCACCCCTGGAGAGCCGGCCTCCATCTCCTGCAGGTCTAGTCAGAGCCTTCTGCATAGTAATGGAAACACCTATTTGGATTGGTACCTGCAGAAGCCAGGCCAGTCTCCACGGCTCCTGATCTATAAAGTTACCAATCGGGAATCTGGGGTCCCAGACAGGTTCAGTGGCAGTGGGTCAGGCACAGATTTCACACTGAAAATCAGCAGGGTGGAGCCTGAGGATGTTGGCGTTTATTACTGCATGCAAGGTACAAAAGCTCCCCCACAGTGGTACAGCCCCGAACACAAACCTCTCTGCTGGGTGGCCCAGCTGCCCACATGTGTTGTTTGTCGGGGGAGCAGGCACCATAAAGGGCAAAACAGTAACGAATTCAGTGGGATGAGTTGCAGGAAGCTGCTCCTGTGAGTCCTGGGGCTACACCTCAGGCCGAACCGCAGGAGAATGGTGGGGTCCAAGTGCTCACTGAGCAACCAGACATGATAATGGAGAAAACTGAATGAAAGTTCATCTAAATCCTCCTAGCCTTTCCTACATCTATTTTTCAACTAAAAGGATTCAGTGTAACGACTTTGTAATTAAGGCTACTTCATGTCAACCTAAGACTGATATTTTTTTTGGATTTTCTTTTGTTTGAATAGTTACTGGTTATAGACGCAGCCAGGTTTGTTTAGTAACATAAAAACTGTTTCTCTTCTTCCTCACCTTCACACTTCCACATTTTCTTAGCATATGTCTCTCTCCAGCAAAGGGGCAGGCATAGCATTTTACACCACGATTTCAGGAATTACCCATGTCAAACAATGTACATTCCTGTTTTTGGGCTACTAGGTTGACTTTGTTAAATTCACTTAAAAACAAAAGTCACGTGTCCAATGTGTTTGACCAGTCTCAGGCACAGCAGATTGAAATAAAAGGTGAGGATTTTGAATTGCAAATCAAGGGTTTTAGAAATAAATATTTAAGTTTGGAAGAATCAGGCAGCATGCGTGTTTTATGCCATACCCAACAGAATTTTGAAAAAAATTAGATAACGCATGGCAATTTTTTGCCTAATACAAAATAAGAATATTAAGATTTTGGACAGCAGCAGTGAAAGCAAGCATGAAGGACATGTGGCAGAGGTCAACTGTAGGTGCAAACCCAGCTCTGTTGCTCATGTTTGCTGGGGTCCCTATGCTGGTGTGGTTGGAGTTGAACTACTAACCAAGATGGAAACTTGTAAGTATTTCTTGGAAAGAATCAGGGTGTTGAATAGACCCCTGCGTGCCCTTCAAGGCTGTGCCCTGATGCCACTGCCAGTTCATAAGGTCGCTGTGCTTATCGTGGGACTCTAGGAATTTAGTGACTCAAGGGTTACAGATGTTCCTGTGCAAAAGTGAGGTTAGGTCATGCCACCTTAGGACCTAAGGTTAGGTCATGTCACCTTAGGACCTAAGGTTAGGTCATGTCACACCTTCCTAGTCAACCCAGCAAGACATAGGTGAGCTTCCAAAAATTGATTTCACGTATGTCCTTTATCTGGGGATGAAACGAGAGAGAATGGTCATTCAGGAGATACCTTATATCAAATTAGATAAGATGCTAACCAGGGCTGAGCTATGGCTGGGAAGATCAGTAGGAGATTCATAGTAGGAGCCTAAGGCCTATATTTTAGACCTGCATGAAGGGCAATAAGTGCAGGATTAGAAGGGAAACTTGGGAGAATGTGGGAGCTTTCACTTTACATTTCTCACGCAGTCTCCAGAGACTCTTCCTAACCCACACCTCAGCAAATGTCTCAGTATGAAATCCAGCCTGGTGTTAAGAACTCAGCTCTTGCCTACTCTGTTAAAGCAGCGTCAAGAACTGCCAAACTTACGTGGATTCTCCTTCCTCATAGAGTCCCTCTGCTTGGGCCACGCCGGAACCTCCACCGACACTCAACAGTTGGCAAGTTTCATAAAATAACTCAATGAGAGAAAAACATCAGTTAACCTAAAATGGTGCATTTCTCCCATGAAATTTTAGGTAATTTGGTTCATTTTGTCTATAGTACTATGTTGTCATTATAAACATGATTTTTAAAATTTATTATTTTTTCCTACTTTTGTTGAATTGCTTTTGTTTCTCTTCTAAGAACCACTACCTCATTCCTTTTACTTTTGCATTTTAAATTAAGTTAAAATGGGAGAATGCCAACTTGGTTATTGTATTATTAATAGAAGAAATTTATGATGAGAACAATCAATAAAATGCACATGCCATGATCACATCTACGTTGAAAATGGCCGGGCGCAGTGGCTCAAGCCTGTAATCCCAGCACTTTGGGAGGCTGAGACGGGCGGACCACGAGGTCAGGAGATCGAGACCATCCTGGCTAACACGGTGAAACCCCGTCTCCACTAAAAAATACAAAAAACTAGCCGGGCGAGGTGGCAGGCGCCTGTAGTCCCAGCTACTTGTAAGGCTGAGGCAGGAGAATGGCGTAAACCCGGGAGGCGAAGCTTGCAGTGATCTGAGATCCAGCCACTGCTCTCCAGCCCAGGCGACAGAGCAAGAGTCCGTCTCAAAAAAAAAAAAAAAACAAAAAAAAAACAAGGGAAAATATCTGAAAAAATTATGGTAATTATGTCAGAGTTTACAATATTTGATACCACATATGATTTTGTATTCCAGTAATAAATATATAGAAATGTATGCTTTAAATATACCACATTTAAAGAGTGCTCTAGTAATATTTTTATCCAGAATGGAGACTATCAATTATGGTATTATGTAATGGTAGAAGTAATAAGCGTTTGAATTAACAAACAAAAATGCTATATTATATTTATATTTTGAGACTTACGGTTGCAGCCTTGGCCCCGTGCACATTTCTAGAGGCAGCAGACCAATAGTGCTCACAGCAGTATCTGGCATCCAGTGCCTGTTCTATCACTCATGCAAATGGTCTCATCTAATCCAGCATGAAGCCGAAGCAGTTGAGTATTGACATTATTGCCTTGAGTCTTGTTTTGCAGACTACTTCATAATCTGTTTTTCTATTATTAAATATAAATTTTGAATATATTTGGACAGAATTGGCTTATGATACCTGCAATTAAGGAACTTCAAAGACATATCAGGATAAACTTAATAGGACAAATTAAGATATTTTGTTAATGTTGTACACCAACAGAAGATGAGTCAGCCTAAAACACCTCTTATAAAGGATGCTTCCCAGGTGCCCTGGGGTCCCAGGTCTACTCAGTGTCAGTGGATGTGGGACAGATTTCTCACCCAGTATCAATACTCTGATACTTGAGAAAGCTGAAGATGCTGGAACACCCTAGCATGACCCTCTCCCTGATGAGTCACAGCCTTGTATAATCTATTCCCACTGACAGCAGGCAGAATCTAGGACTCACTTCTCACCGATATAGTATGGCAGGAATGATGAGTTGTATTTCCAATGATTGTATTGTATTATATAAGCATCTGTCCTAGCAGACTGGAGAGGGACACTCTCTGCTTTTCTTGAGCAAGCAAAGGGCCATGTGTACGTTGCTTATGGGAAGATCACATGGCAGGGAATTGCCCACAGCATCTAGGACCTGAGAGCAACCTTCAGCCAGGATCCAATAAGAAGTTGAAGTCCTAAATCATAGACATGCAAGGAAATAAGTTCTACAGCAATCTGAAAGAGCTTTAAAGTGCATGTGCACTCAGGTGAGTCTCAGGTGAGAATGCAGTCTACACTGTGGTAAAGTCTTGTAAAACCTTATGGACATTCTTCTACATGTGACTTGCCAATTACCTGAGCACCTTTTGTTGAATAGGATGTCCTTTCCCCACTTAATGTTTCTGTTTACTTTGTCAAGGATTAGTATACTGTAAGTATTTGACTTTATTTCTGGGTTCTCTATTGTGTTCCATTGGTTTATGTGTTTATTTTTATATGAGTGCCATGCTGCTTAGGTGACTATGACCTTGTAGTATAGCTTGAAGTTGCGTAACGTGATGCCTCCAGATTTGTTCTTTTGGCTTAGTCTTGCCTTGGTTATTTGGGCTTCTTTTTTGATTCCACATGAATTTTAGGAGAGTTTATTTTCTAGTTCTGTGAAGAAGGATGGTGGTACGACTATGGGAACGGTAGTGAATTTATAGATTGCTTTTGGCAGTATGGCCATTTTCATGATATTGATTCTACCTATCCATGAGCGTGGGATGTGTTTCCATTTGTTTGTGTCATCTATGATTTCTATCAACAGTTTCTTGTAGTTTTCCTTGTAGAGATCTTTCACGTCCTTAGTTAGGTATTTTCCTAAGTATTTCTCTTTCTTGGAGCTATCATGAAAGAGGTTGAGTTCTTTTTTTTTTTTTTTTTTTTTGAAACAGAGTCTCGCTCTGTCGCCCAGAGCTGGAGTGCAGTGGCCGGATCTCAGCTCACTGCAAGCTCCGCCTCCCGGGTTCTCGCCATCCTCCTGCCTCAGCCTCCCGAGTAGCTGGGACTACAGGCGCCCGCCACCTCGCCCGGCTAGTTTTTTGTATTTTTTAGTAGAGACGGGGTTTCACCATGTTAGCCAGGATGGTCTCGATCTCCTGACCTCGTGATCCGCCCGTCTCGGCCTCCCAAAGTGCTGGGATTACAGGCTTGACCCACCGCGCCCGGCCGAGGTTGAGTTCTTGATTTGACTCTCAGCTTGTTCGCTATTGGTATATAGCAGAGCTACTGATTTGTGTACATTAATTTTGTGTCCTGAAACTTTGCTGAATTCATTTACCAATTCTAGGACCTTTTGGGGTCATCTCTCACCTTATATAAAATAAATTCAAGATGGATCAAAGACTTAAACCTAAGACCTGAAATTATAAAGATTCAAGGAGACAACATTTAAAAATCCTTCTAGATGTTGGCTTGGTCAAAGACTTCATGACCAGAAACCCCAAAACAAATGCAAGAAAAAGAAAGATAAATAGATAGGACTTATTAAAGTAAGAAGCTTCTGCACAGTAAAAGAAATAATCAGCAGAGTTAACAGACAAACCACAGAGTGGGAGAAAATCTTCATGATCTATACCACCAATAAAGGACTAATATCCAGAATGTACAAAGAACTCAAAAAAATCAGCAAGAAAAAACAAACAGTCCCGTCAGCAAGTGGGCTAAGGACATGAATAGACAATTCTCAAAAGAAGATATACAAATGGTCAACAAACATATGGAAAAAATTCAACATCACTAATTATCAGGGAAATGCAAATCAACACTACAGTGAAATACCACCTCACTCCTGCAAGAATGGGCATAATCAGAAAAGCAAAAAGTTATAGACGTTGGAGTGAATGCCGTGAAATGGGAAGGCTTTTACACTGTGGGTTGGAATGTAACTAGTATAAGCACTATGGAAAACAGTGTGGTGATTCCTTAATGAACTAAAAGTAGACCTATCTGATCCAGCAATCCACTACTAGGTCTCTACCCAGAGGAAAAGAAGTCATTATACAAAAAAGATACTTGCACATGCATGTTTACAGCAGCACAATTTGCAATTGCAAAAATATGAGACCAGCTCAAATGCCATATATATACGTATATATGTATGTATACATGTATATATACTGTACATATATATAGTATACATACATGTATGTATACTATACATATATACTATACATATATACACATGTATATATACTATATACACACCTATATATACATATATAGATATATAGACACATACATATATGTACATATACACATACATATATGTACATATACGCATATATGCACATATATATACACACACACACATATATATAGTAGAATACTATTAAGCCACAAAAAGGAATGAAATAATAGCATTTCAACCACTTGGATGGAACTGGAGGCAATTATTCTAAGTCAAGTAACTCAGGAATGGAAAACCAAGCGTCATATGTTCTCACTCATATGTGCGAGCTAAGATATGGGGACACAAAGGTATAAGAATGATACATTGGATTTTGGGGACTCGGGGGAATGTGAAGGGGCTGGCAAGAGATAAAAGACTATACACTAGGTACAGCG